GAATAATGGAGGCGGTGCTTTTGCCACAAATTGACAGTAATTGCAAAGACCAGATACTGTTTTCCTCACATACTGACTACACAGATGCAGGGATTAAATAAAAAATAAGCACACAAGCGATTTCTTATCAGGGAACGCATCTGAAACCATTGCAACCCATGGTCAGTTGGAGTTCAGCAATCAGTTATTTGGGCAACAAGAGATGAAAAATCGCTGCCGGTGTGAACGCAGGGTCACTGATACAAAGAAAGCTGCAGTTGTGCTCTTTGTTTTATCTCACGAGCATCTTCACAGCAAGAGGTTCTCACTACTTTTTGCCCCTCGTTGCTCACCAGCAGCTCCACACAGAGTCACAACATTTGACACATACAGAGAGACAACGGTGTCCTTGTTCATCTCATACACAGAAAAATATTTGATATGTTTACATTACTTAAAACTATTCAAGTTAATTTCCATTCCATTAGTGTAAAGTTATTTTGTGTGAAAGGCTGTGATTTAGGATAAATCAGGTGTTGTTTTTTTAGTCATATAATAGAGCTAACACTGGCTTGGTGAATTTTCAATGTAGCTATAATAGTGTATTCCAGCTCTGTAGCACAGCATAGTAACCTATAGCAATGGGACCTGCCAGCTGGTCCTGGTCATGTAAGGGGTCCAACTGGAAGTAAACTTTATGTGCAAAATCAAAATTCTAACCAAAATTCATTAGTCTAATGTGTGGTGTTGGGGTCTGTGGGACCCAGTTGCAATGTTTATCAAAAGAAAAAATAATATGATTTATTATTATTTCAACCTTTCTTGGCTTTTGCTCATTTTCAGTGAAGAACTTATAAAATAACACATTTTCAGTGCCTTCACTCTGTTCACATATACAAACATACACAGACACACACACACTAACATCAACACATTTATATGACACGTGGTGTTGGGGTGAACCTGCGGGGAATGAAGTGTGGAGGTGCTGTGTCCCTTCACTCTATTCTCCTCCTACATGGCCTGATGTTAGTGTGTGTGTGTGTGTGTCTGTGTGTGTATGTGTTTGTATATGTGTGTGTGTGTGAGAGGGTGGACAACATGGACAGGCTGCTGACTGGCTACAGCTGCTAAAGAAGAACCCTATGCTGACCACTTGTGATATTTTAAACATCTGGTATTTTTACATAAATTGTTATGACTGTATTGATTAAAAAAAATAATGTGATGGGTCCACCAGACCACTGAGTAACAAAAACATGACCTCCACACAAGGGTTAAATGGGATTTTGTAACACTCTATAAAGCTTGTCCAAGCTCCCAACAGTTGCCATGAAAGAACATGTTTATGGGCGGAGCATGGATAAGTCAAATAAAAGAAATATGTTCTTCTAATATGTTGTTACACTTTTCTTTTGTAAGCACCATCATTTGAGGTAATGCAAATCCTGATTCTAAATTTGTTTGGCGCACTGAAAAAAGAGCCAGTGACTAAAAATGAGCCAAAGGCTTCAGCCTATAAGGAACATTATACAACCTCTTGCAAAATCCTTTCCTTCATATAACTCACACAAAAAAGTATACGTGTATTTTTTAAAAATAGAGGCCTCAAACAATTATTTAGAGTGATACCACAAAAAATGAACTCAACTGGAAGTGGTTCTTTCATGGTAATGCACCAATGAACCTTTTTGGCACCTCTATTTTTAGGAGTGCAGTGCATCAGGTTCCGAGCTTGGTTTTAAAAAATCTTTTCATTCATGCTATTAAGTACTAAAGTTAGGCATGCACACACAAAAAAGACCTCTTGTAGCCTATTTTGTTAAAATGCCAGCCTATAATTAATGATGTCATTAATGATGTCTTAATGGCAATGTTCTACACTCTTAAAAATAAAGGTGCAAAGACCTGCTGTAGGCCTATTTGGTAGGAAAATATTATTCTCTTGGTAAAGCTGAATACAGTGCTGGCTCTCAACAGTTCAAGTCAAGTATATTCTTAAAAATAAAGACATCAAACAGTGTGCTTTAGAGCAAATCACTTTCAATAGATGTTTTTTTTTTTTAAACTGCTCACCTGAGAGTGGTTCTTTTATGGTATAGCTGCAACGAAACCTTTTTAGCTCCTTTATTTTTGAGAGCGTAGCACATGAGATTCCGAGAATGGTTTTGAGCATGGATCACTTTCAGAAAACGCAAACAGCTTCAGTCTGCAAGAACCAGCCTACAACCTGTTGCAACATCTCCATTCATGCTATTTTAGTACTGAAGCTAGACATATATTGTTCATACACCAGCCTATAATTATGACCGCAGTTATTATTGATGTCTTAAAGATAATGGGCCTCATTCGCCAATATCTTCTTACAGGTTTTTTCTTAAATCTGTTCTTGAGAAAGGTCCTAAGAAAAAGTCTACGACAGATTCATGACGTGTTTTTAAACCACAGAACTGTTCGCACCTTTGTGCTCTTGACTGCGTGTAGACTCTGTTCCTACCTGAGAACAAATCCTAAATAAGAAAACATTAGTGAATGTCAAAATCTTCATGAAAACTGCATTAGTGGGTTTTAAGAAGAAATTTCTTCTTAAGGACGGTTGGTGAATGATGCCCAATAAAGGTTCCAAGAAGGGCTCCTGCGAGCAATGCCATTGAAGAACAACTTTCAGTCACAAAAACAAAACGGCAATGGCTTCAACTGGATTTTTCAAGAACTATCTATTGAAATGTACCTTAGGGAACCAAAAGTAACTAACGCATAAACACTTTCTATGTTCTGTGGCATGAACACTTTGAATTTTTATCAAATCTTAAAATGCAAGACTGATTTGTGCATTCAAAAAGAACAAGCGGCTTCAGCCTGTAGGGACAAACCTACAACCTGTTGCAAAATCTTCTCATTCATGATACTGAAGTATTACAGTTGGGCATTCATGCACAAAAAGACCTGTTGCAGGGCTATTTTGTTGTAATTGTTGTTATTAATGATACCTTAATGTCCTAAAATAAAGAAGCCAGAACTAGTTCTTTGGCACAATGCCATAGAAGAACCACTTTTGGTTCTCACAAGATGGGAGGTTTTTAAGGAACCACCTTAAAGGGTTCTTTAGGTATCCAGTTCCTGTGGCACAACTCCAAAGAGCCCATAAAGAGTGTAATGACAGCAGCAGTCACAAAAACAGATGAAATGTTTTCGCTCCATCAGCCACCCAAGCCTGCCTCTAATATGTAAGACAAACACAAAGCATGCTACAACATATCCTGAGCTCTGATCGCTGTTTAGTGAATGGCTGGAGTTTCAACACTGCGGACAGCCCCCCCCCTCCTCTCTCTATCTCTCTCTCTCTCTCTCTCTCTTTCTCACTCACTCTCTCTCTATAGACACAACGCTATGAGCAAGAATCTGCTCTTTCTAAATGAAACGACAATAAAGCCAAACACATCAGCCACTCTTTTAGCAGCTTATCTCCAGCACGCTCTCTCTGCTCCGCCTTCACGCCACGCTTTCTCTGTAAATGTTTGACCATTGATTACACTCACCAACAAATAATACAAAAAACAAGAAACACTTTCCTTATCATATCAGTACAAAAAGTAGCTAACAGCCCACCCACCACCCCTTTAAGATGACAATGGCAGCATCGAAATTAACCTTAATGTCAAGTTTATGGCGCTGAAGAGGGTGCGCTTCTTCAGCGTCACGTAGAGTGATGTGCAAACAAGGGCAAATGAGCGAGAGGGAAAAAGCTCTTCTGACAGATTAGCCGGGGAAAGCACCGGTGCCCTATTAGTGTTATTGAAATGTACTCAGTGTGGAGTGGGGCGGACGTGCATGAACACCTGGTGGAGCTGCTATAAGGCTAAGACCCTGTAAAGCCCCCCTACCCCTCCTTTTTTATCCTACAGCACCTGTGCTGTATACAATGACGCACGCGCTCTGAAAGAAGTGGCGTTGCAGCTGTTTGGCCACTGACACAGTAACCTTGCACCACTGGCAACCTTCAAAGCTCTGTAACAACAACCTGTTTGTTTTTCACATTGTCCAATATACGCACTAAACTGGACGGATTTACTTATTCTTTTATGAAAAAGAACTGCAGAAACAGTTCTTAGTGTATAGTATAGAACAAGTTATAGTAATACTTTAGTATAGTACATTAGAGTAATACTAATACTATAGTATAATATAGTAATGTAATAGTAATACAACAGTATAGAACAGTATTGTACAGTATAGTAATAGTATAGTAATACTATAGTATTGTGCAGTGCACTATAGTATATTGTAGTAAGAGCACTGTAAAATGGGACTATAGTTTACTATAGGCTGTCACTAAAGCATTATGGCTCACTACAGAACAGTATTACAGGCATATTACACCGTTATTAAAGTATTATAGATCACTATAAAAGCATTTTACAGCACTAGTTTCTCATTGTATTAGCAGCTCTTTCTGTAAGGTTTATGGGGCACCAGGTCATATGGGACAGTGAACTGGATTATGTCATATGGACACACGTCATAGGCCTTGGATATTAAAATGACAAAATCATTCCTTTCTTCAGTTACCAACTTTTTAAAGGCCAATATTTTATTTACAGTTTCGCTCATTTAGAAACACTACGCTAAACCGTGAGCCCTGTCCATGGTGCTGAACCTGGTGGCCCCTCATAGCCTGGCCTAATAAGACTGCAGCAGGAGAGGGTGAAAGCTCAAGTACTCCTTGATTTTTGGGTGAGGATGCTACTCCACACAGGTATCCACGTCTTCTTTCAGACCTCTAAGCCTGATGCACCGACACCAGCAGCGGTGCATCAGTGAAGAACAAAGACAGCGAGCGTTCTGATATGAAAATGCACTTTTTTTTTGGTGCCTACCAAAGAAAAAAACATCTCCACGAAACTGTCAGCAGTTACCATGACGACCGGGTGGAAGACCCAACTCTAACCGGACTGCGAACCAAAAAAAAGGGAAGAAGAACCCAAGTTAAAGCCGCGAGCTGTAGCCAAGGTTCGCCCTACCTTGCACTCTTCCATGCACGTCCTTACTGAGTAGGCATCCGTCACGTATCGGTCCGTCATGAGCTCAAACTCCTCGTATTTCTCCTGCGCGTGCAGGTCGTAGCGCTGGTACGCTTGCACGCACAGGCTGCAGCGGCCCACGCCGCCGGCGCGCATGGCGTCCACGCTGCAGTTCAAGCGGTCCGGGCTCGACGAGCCGTCCAGCAGATCCATGAGGGAGTACGCGTCGCAGAAGGACAGGTACAAGTCGGCCGCGCTCACGTTCCACTCACTCGCGCCCCAAAGGCCCCTGCACAGGTGGTCGGCGTCGACGAAAGTGAGGCAGTTCTTGGCCGCGCACGTCTTCTTCTCCGGACCCCACGCGCGCGCGCTCGCGCCGGAGGAGTTCCCTACAAAAGTAGTATCTTCGTTACTCCTGAGGATGCCGGGCTCGCGGCCCGTTCCCGCACCCGTCCCCGTCCCCAGGTTCGCGGACATCACCTTGTCCAGGCTCCCGGTCAGCCTGGCCTCGGCGCCCGGCCCCAGGCGGTCAGAGAGCAGCGCGGTGAGGAAGAGGAGGGAGGCGAGTGACCGGCGCCATCGCTGGGCCCTCTCGGAGTCGGTAAAAAGCGGCGGTGTGTCGTCTTCGTTGTCGTCGGAGCTCTGGCCGCGCGCGCACCACCACCACCAGCACCACCACCACCAGCACCAACAGCACGTCCACGTTTTGGAGCCGTCGTCTCGCTGCCGATGTCGAGCCTTGCGAGCGCCGCTGGTCATATTTCGGGCACGCGCGGCACCACGCACGGCAGCAGCAGCAGCAGCACGGGCCGACTCCACCGTGGGGGCTCTTCCGCCGCCGCTATGGTCATCGACGTGTTGGTCCGCCGCCGCTGCCCTGCGTCTTCCCCCGCACCGCCGAGGAGTCCTGCTGCTGCCGCCGCCGCCGCTGCTGCTGGTGCTCGAGCGATTCCCGGCAGTTGGCGGCTTTTAGAGCGCGCATCGTCGACTCCCCGTGCCCGCGAGCCGCGAATCTACCGAGAAAAAGAAGCAGGCGCGAGGCTGCGGCGACATGGCTGGCTCTTCTCCTCCCCCCTTCCCTTCCCTTCCCTTCCCCCCTCCGCGCGCGTGCCACCCCGGCGTCCCGTCCCGTCCCGTCCCGTTCTGTCCTGTCCCGTCTTTTAGCGCGGCGTCCGCTTCTCTCGCCCTTCGAGCGCACGAGCCGTTCCCTCCGCCGCTACACGCCCGACCCGCCGCCGCTGCCGCTGCTGCTGCTGGTTCCGGGGTTTCTGCTCACGAGCGCAGGGACTGATTTCGGCGCGCCGACTCTTCTCGTTTCCGCGTCCGTGAACGGAGGTGCTGGGCTCTTTTCTCTCCACTTCAGCAGCCACAGTCATCTTGCTCTAATGTTGGGTTGCCGCCATGTTCGTCTTGAAAGCGGTTTATTGAGAGCAGCAGCGTTTGCGTCATCCCGTCCGCTCTGAGTGATCTGCCCCGATATGAGGGGCGCCGATACACATCGATACCCCTCAGCGATACTCACATATTCATTATAACGGATACTTTTAGATCAGTAACCTACTACAGACAGAGATTCACTTAAAGACACACATACACATCAATATGTATACAGAACAATTCAGCAAACCGATACATATTCATAACAGATCTATATTTATAGATCAATAGCCTACAAACATTATTACTGATGGTCCTCTCTCTCTCTCTCTCTCTCTCTCTCTCTCTCTCTATATATATATATATATATATATATATATATATATATATATATTAACTGTATAAGACCAATAAAGGTTTCTATAACTTAAAAAAATAAAAAAAAACAATTTTTGGTGCTTTAAAAGGTTCTTTAAAGAACCATATACAGTAGGTTTTCCATTCTATAGAAGAAACCATGCAAAGAACTATGCATTCATATAGTTCTCTGAATGTTCACGGTTGCATATACAACCATTACCTTTACTGAATAACCTGTTAAGTACCATCTTTAAGTGTGTACACAACAATATAACGATTCTGTATCTGATATTTACAAATTCATAACTGAAGACCAGCGTTATAGATCAATAGCTTACTGCACAAATGGAGATGATAACACTTGTCATGGTAAACTACATTCTCTTCACTTTTTCAAATGAAACACTTTAGTGACATAAACACTGTTAAGGTTTCAAAATATTTACTCCTCAGTCCACACAGTCCATATAAGGAAACTCAGATGTTTGGTTGGTGTGACCTACACATGTTTGATGGTTTAAAGATTCTAGAATGTTCTCTTCCCATTCACTCTAGTTTGTTTATAAGCTTTGAAAAGAGCCTAGTTTGAAGTCACTGGCTTTTATGATGTCATGAAAAGCAACACATTCACATATGTCTGCCTAGTCAAAAGCAGTCTGTTTAATTCTAAGGAATAAAGAGAGGTTGGATTACAATGATTAAAATAAATTACAGTTGTTTTTGGTAAATGAACCTACACAGTCATCATAAGAGGGGAAAAACAAAATAAAATATGAGAAAAATGCAGGATATGGGCTCTTGAAAGGAAAACATGTTCAACCTCGCAATTGCTTTTTTATTATGATGAATGGACATAACTGAAATTATCCAAAATTACAAAAGGTCTTATATAATAATATAGTAATGTTAACTTATATTACATGTTAAAAATGTTTTTCTTCTCCTGTAAATGCACCATATCATAGATACAAGGTTTAGTTACAGCAGTGTTCTCCACTGACAGACAGCCCATAAATACTGACAACTATTTAGACATTTACTTCTCTCCCATATGAATAAAATCTGTGTCAGCAACATCAAAACACTTCCAGCAACAGATCACTTCCAGTGTGGAAAGTTAAGAGCCCTTTAAATGTTGTAAAATCTGTAAGTAGACTACTTGACTGTAACAGTACTTTATTACAGTCATCTGTTTACAAGAACTCTACTTTTAAGTGATGGTTTATTACCACTTAGTGACAGATTAGCTACATAAGCAGGGAGGAAAGCAATGTTGCTGATTATGCAAAATGCAAAAAAAAGTCCTATACATGGATTTGTTTAGATTTAATTTAGTATTTGGTACATATATATATATATATATATATATATTATATATATATATCCATCTGTTGCTCTGCATACTTTGTTAGCCCCTTTTACCTTGTTCTTCAGTGGTCAGGACCCCAACAGGACCTCCACAGGGCAGGTATTTGGGTGATGGATCATTCTCAGCACTGTAGTGACTCTGACATGGTGGTGGCGTGTTAGTGTATGTTGTGCTGGTACGAATGGATCAGACACAGCAGTGCTGCTGGGGTTTCCTATAAGGTAGACTCAAACCATGCCAGCAAGATGCCCCTCAGCATAGCAGAGCTACCCCCTATGATGGCTATGTACTGTTCTCTTGGTACATATCGTTGTTGTCGGAAGAAAACCTCATATCTCCAAAAAAGGTAACTAATAAACAGGAGAAGGAAAAAACCTACTTTTACTTTTAATGTAAGTCAATGGAGCCAGACTTTTACCCAAGTCATTTTGGGCCATTTCTTTTGGTCCATTTATATTGAAATTCACATACAATGTAAAGAGCAACAGTTAGTTTCAAATTATGTCAAAAACTGAAAAACAACAAAAATGGAGATACAAGGTTTTCTTCTTCGATATATATGTATATATTTCTATGCAAAGGTCAAAGACCATCCTTAATTTTCGTAATTTTGCCCATCAAAGCCAGTAAGTATAAGTTTTCAGTAGTTATTTCTGAACAGATTATATATGTATATATATATATATATATATATATATATATATATATATATATATATATATATATTATTAGCAGGCTCATTTGCATATTACAGCCTTCTGCAAAGACCAATATCACAATAATGCTGAATGATTGATATTCAGGCCTAATGTAGAGACTTTACAGCAGAGATTACTCTGTCCCAAATTAAAGTCTTAGGAAGGACAAGCCAAAGTACCAGGTAGGTACTCTGCAGTGGTCCCTGTTTTCCTGTTTTGTCTCACAGTGGACAGCCATATGGTATAGTGTGAACCTGTCACATTCACACACACAAACACACACGGTGTGTTTTGACCTGGAGCCTGACACATGAGAGGTGGCTAATCAACAACATATGTGTCCTTAGCTTGTGTATCTTCTGCCAAATCGCTCTTTGTATCAGCACCTTGTGGTGTGCTTGCAGGTGACAAAATCTAGACTAATAATGTGACTGATCTCATATTACATTGCGTACATGGAATTATATATACATTACATTCAATTACATTGTTGCTGATATTACATTATAATCGTGTTATGCTCTTTCAGGGTGGATGTTGAAATGTAGTAAATTAAAGAAGACACAGCCATAACATAAATAAAGAAGTAATTTAATGCAACCACCGTGTACCATGAGCCATGTGGAGTGTATTTTTATATTCTGGGCATAGTGATCTTCAGTTGGGCTATGAAAGTAGCTATAAAAGGTCCCTCAGTTCAGCTTTGAATTAAAATATTTTAAAATAAATTTAAAATAAATGTAAAATTTTATGTAAAAAATATATTATATTATATTATATTATATTACACTACAAAACAAAGATCATTTTGAACTGCACTCACCAACAGATTTCAGATGATTGAAATCGACTATATTTGTAGCGTTCACTATTTGATTGAAAGCATTTACTATTGATTGACAGTGGTTCATCCTGCCTTTTCCCCTTCACCAGCTGTTTGATTTGCTGTGAGACTCGTTGACTGGTTGACAGAGAAACATTCTAGACTGATGGTGTAGCATTAGTTCAGGCAATTCTGTTAATAGATAAGTATTCTGACAGTGTTATTACATGAACACAAAGGTACACTCTTAAAAATAAAGGTGCCAAAAAGGATTCTTTGAACAGTGCCATGGCAGAGCCACTTTTTGTAGCCTATAAAACTTTTCAAAAGATTGAAGAAAAAAATAAAGGAAGAAAAAAATAAAAGCTCAAAGTGTGATATTGCCTATTCCACAGAAGTACTGAAGTGAAAATAAAGAGAAAAGGTCATTTGGTAATATTTGAGTTGGACAGTCTACTTTAGATGCTTTGTAGATGTTCACATATCTAATCCTAACCTTAACCTCAAGCCAAAACCAACCATCAATGCCACTAATAATCAGTTTCACCAGATACTTTCTTAAACTTTAAGTCGCCAAGAAGAGGTCTTTGTAGGAACGCCATAAAAGAACCACTTTTGGGTGGCTTTTAGTGGATGGTTGTTTAAAGAATTTAATAGACACCAATAGTGGTTCTTCTATGGCAAAAAAGGTAAGTAAAAGTGGTTCATAGCACCTCAAAATAGCCTTTTTGGAAGATTGATTTTATTTATTTTTTAACACGTAGTACTGTGCAAAAGTCAGAGTCCATAATATCCAGGAAATATTTCTGAAGAGAGCAGATATAAGATAATCCACTTGCACAAGGGAAAAGTCAAAGGAAAATAAGAGAAAATAATGAAATAGAGTTCAAGAAATGATTAAATGATACAGAGAAAATAGGACTTCTAACAACCGCGCAAAACCTGGTAGACCACCAAAACTGTCACCACCAGACAAACTTAAAGCTTTCATCTTTGAAAGAGAGGAGAAAATCAAGCTCCACTTTTACTTCAGATCTGAAAAAATCCACAGGTGTTTCTGTTCATCCTTCCACTGTGAGAAGACAACTCAACACTATAAGTCTGAAAAGATGTGTAGCTGTTAAGAAGACGT